TGGGGGTGGGGGTGGGTGGGGAGTGTAGGGGGTGGGTTTATAGGGTATACCCTTTGGTCGATTGATGATGCATGGAGGGGATTGGAACCATGGCAATGAAACCATATATGGTGGAATGAATGTAAAACTAAAGTTCTCCCATGTAAAATATAATTTACAATAAAACATGGAAAAAAACAAAAAACCTTAAAGCGTAAATCTGTAATTGGCATTGAGATAGCTGTCTTAATTTCTGTTGTTGTTAGGAGCTGTGGAGTCGGTTCTGACTCATAGCGACCCTGTACAGGGTTTCCGAGGCTGTAAATCTTTATGGGAGCAGAAAGCCTCAAATTTCTTCCATGGAACAGCTGGTAGTTTTGAATTGTGGTTCACAGCCCAATTCGTAACCACTACACCACCACATGGGAAGGTATAAATAAGCTATAATTTTAACGAATGGGTTTTTAACATTTCCTTCTGAGTTGCTAATGAAAATAGGATTAAATCCAATTTGAGGACTTTATTATGAATTCTGAAGTCAGAGCACCAAATTAAAGGAACAGTCTTGGAAATTGAAAGTTGAGAATTTGGAGGAGGAGCTAGAAGTAAGTGATATAAGTCATCATTGTGGAGAAAACCACTGTGCCCTTCCCATCTTGAACTAACATAATAACTAAGTTACCGCTTTTAAGTGTAAGTACCGGTGATTCTAATGGATCCACTTATGATGATACTATCTTGGGTAACATGGTGTAGATAATTGTGGTTCTGCCAAAACATAGGGCTTTAAAGATTACTATTTCATGTTGTGTATTCAGTCACATTATAGGAAAACTGTGTATCACATATGTGCAAGGGGGCTTCAGAAAGTTTTTTGAAAAAAATGGAAATTTTATCTTCAAGCTCCAACTGACCTCATAGTTTCAAGAGACATTTGAATAGGCATAATTTTCATATGAAAAAAAGCAGTTGCTTAAATTAGCTAACTTTACAGTTGTTGAAGAGCTCTTGGTAGCATAGTGGGGTATGTGTTGGGCTGTTGCTAACCACAAGACCAGCAGTTTGAATCTGTTGTTTGCTCCATAGGAGAAAGGTGAGACTTTCTGCTCTTGAAAGATTGACAGCCTCGGAAAGCCTATACTGGGTCGCTATGAGTTCGAACTGCTTTAATGGCACTCAGTCACCATCACCATGTATTTGTTAGCTGTTTCTATGTCCATGAATTGATTAATTGTTGCAGGGCTGTTGCATGTTACATGCAAAAGTTAAAAGGGAAGAAAAAGTTTCCCACATATCAAATGTGATTTGATACAAAAGAATAGTACTAGTATGACCTTTCCCCCTTAGATTTTCTGCCTTTTTAAGAAAGAGGAAAGAGACCTGGCCGCCTTGCTGGTGTTGACTCTGTGTGAGTCGTCTCAGTATGTGCACTCCCTGTATTTTCTGAGCATTCACTACATTTCAAATTTGACACCGCGTCAAGCTCAGTGGTTGGCAAGTGGTGAGCACTGCTCAGCAAATGCTTAAGTAATAATGTATATATAAAGTAGATCTTTGTATTATGCAACATAGATGTTTTTATCGTTCAGTAGTATAATTTGTGGCTTTGCTCTTTAGATTTTCTCAACTGAAAGGTCTGAACTTGTCCCATAATAAACTTGGGCTGTTTCCTACTTTGCTGTGTGAGATCTCTACCCTGACTGAGCTCAACCTTTCCTGTAATGGAATTCATGACCTGCCAAGTCAGATAAGCAGTCTGCTGAAGTAAGTATCTTGACTTTTTCTAGATTCATCTCTCCCTTACAGTGAAGTAAGTCATGTCATTTTTAGGATTTCTAGTCAACAGCAGTTTTGACAACTGAAAATCAAATTGCCTACAGTTGTGACTAAGGCCTCAGTTTCAACTTCAGAGGTGCTGATTATTTTTAATGTTAAAGAGAATGTTTGTGCAACATATGTATAATGATCTATTAAGTCTCTATAGATCTGGGATGTTTTACCATTTTTAGGGACTTCTGGTATGGTGCTTGCTGCGGATTAATGCGCTAAACTGCAAGGTTGGTTTGAACCACAAGATCAGCGGTTCAATATCACCAGCCGCTCCTTAGAAACCCTATATAGAGTCACTATGAGTCGGAACCAACACAACAGTACTTAGCAACAACCAACATTATTGGAATCATGATAAATTAGTAATGCTATTCAGAATCCCTAATTTTATCCATTCTAATTAAAATTTTCACGAAGTGTCATGTGTTTTCTTCCTACAGTCTTCAAACCCTCAGTCTTGATGGCAACTTTCTGACCACTTTACCTGAAGAATTGGGAAATCTGCAACAGCTTTCTTCCTTGGGAATTACGTTCAACCATTTTAATCAAATTCCTGAGGTTTATGAAAAGCTGACTACTTTAGATAAAATGGTTATGGCAGGAAATCAACTAGAAGCCCTGAACTTAGGAGTGCTGACCCGGATGAGCCATATCAAGCATGTAGATTTAAGGTAAGGTCACTCTTTACCATATCTTCCTTTGGACTGACCTCTGATGAAAGTTTTCTATGTTGATGTTGTTGTTAGGTGCTGTTGAGTTGGTTCCTACCCATAGAAGCCCTGTGCTCAATAGGATGAAACACTGTCCTCACAGTCTTTGTTACACTTGAGCCCATTACTGCTGCCACTGTGCCAATCCATCTGGTTGGGTACTTTCTTTCTTTTTATTGTTTTATTGTGAATTATGATCCAGAGCCAATGGTACTGAAGGAGGAAGTCCAAAGTTCATTGAAGGAATCGGCAAAGAACAAGGCACCAAGAATTGATGGAATAAAAGAAATCTTTCAAGAAAGTGAGGC